ATTAAATTATTCAATACATGTATTAAATAAAATTATATCATAAAACCAAATAAAACTTGAGTTGACGATTAAAAGTATAAATTAAAAAAAATCAAAGTATTCAATCATAAAGTAATATAAAAATATTAAATAACTTAATGAGAAAAAATGATTGTTTTCGAAGGCAAATAAAAATATATATAATCACAAATTTCTACTTGTCGTATTCACTGTCACAATCTTATCGAAATGAAAATACTTCATGAGAAGGATATGTCGGAATGATGTTCAATAGTATTTCCTTTAAAGAAATAAAGGAAGCAGTGGAGGAGGTGAGGTGTACAATGTTTCCAACTTACAAGTTGCATCATAGTCATATAATAAGTTTTCAATGAATAAAATTATTGAATCAAGTTTTTTAATTAAACTAAGAGGTCCTTGATCTTATATAAAATTTCACTTTATAGTTTTTAAGTTTAAAGTTACAACCAATAGCATAAAATATTTTATACATTGTTTGTAATTTATTTACTGCAAGTGATACCAATTTGATATTTTGATGATTCGTTGGTTTGCTGGATGTGTTATTAGTTGGGTTTCATTTTTGTTAAGTTTATAATACTTTGACAGTAATAAAAAAACTAGCCAAATGATGACACTTAAAAGGAAAATGTATTCATCAATCGTTGTTGTTTGTAATTTATTTACCAACATATGGTAAAAATACTCTCCACCTCATATTCTTTTATTGATGGGTTTTGAGCATAACATACAATCGTATGTGTGCATGCAACCGTAAACAAGATCTACGTTTTCTCTAATTGAACATACAATATGAACAACCAAGTGTAAACCCTAGATCTCCAAGGAATAATCGAAAATCATATAAAAAGGGTTATGATACATACCTTTAAGATTGTTATTGTAAACAATCTTGAATCCTTTCTTGAAAGACCTTTGGTAGTAAATGCCACAATTGTCGGGACTCTAATGGTTCACAAAAAAACCTAGCAACCAAGGAAAACTACAGAGAGACAAAGAGAAGAGAAGCCTAAATTTCATCCAAGGAACTTAGAAAGAAGTCATGGCTGAAATTCTATCCTAAGTAGGGTTTATATAGGTGTTCGGAAGGTGTTGGATTAGGCAGGTCTCTCCAAGATAACCCTAATCCCATTACTTCATCCCAAAGGCATCCAAGGCACCCTTAGAGCCCAAGGAAACCCTACGAGCATTCTAGATTTCGTTCCCCCTCTTTAGGGACGTTCTAGAATTGCCTAATGCTTAACTATTGAACATCGTCACCTTTAGTCCCTACACATTTAATTAATTCCTTTAATCCTAAACATAATTCCAAATTAATTTATGATTAAATATTAATTAAACAATATGATTTCTAATTAATATATTATATCCAAAATAAATTAGTAAATCATTTATTTTGATTTCTAATTAATTTATTAACCAAGTAATAAATTAATAAATCAATCTTCTCTCTCTAAAAGCGATCCTATTCAATTGACAGGTTTGAAGGCAACCTAAAAGGACTGTGCTACTATAAATTCAAGTATATATCAATTATAGTTATGGGCTTAGATACCTAATCCAACAGTCTCCCACTTGGATAAGTCTAATAACTATAACTACCAGTATAACTACCAAATTAATTAGCAAATTCTAGCTACCAAAATTCGTTGTCGAACTCTGACCCAGTCGGTGACGTGCTCTTAGATAAGTGATCAAATATTCATTTGTTCTATAAGATATCATATGGACATGAGACATGAATTATAATCAATATCTTTGTCCAAGATTTGTTTCCCGAATTCCGATTTATGACAACTGATATCAGACTACTAATTGAACACATCAATTCAGTCCAGGCTTGGCCAATCTCTTTAGATGTCATCATCAAATCATCGAGGGGCCCACGCATATCGCTTTTTCCATTAGGGAAAAAGGAACGGATAAACTTCGACTTATATGCTTGTACTATTTTCTCATCAAATCATGCACATCAATACGTTTTATAGCATCAAGTTACGGATGTGTTTACGTATTATCAATGCATAACTGACTCACTTATGCACCATATTGTTGTATAAACATGGGTTTAGCATAAGCTTCAGAACTCCACTATGCGCATCACTATAATCTATTAATATGCTTGCTGTTAAAAAAAATGAAATCACAAGAAAAGTAAAGTCAAGTAGATACTTGCATGAGAACAAAAGAAGAAAAGAAAAATAGAATAATTGTGGAAAGGCTAACAAAATCTAAATCAAGTACAAGAAATAAATTAACTTGAAGTTACAAAAGAATTTAAATAAACACAGTAGAAATGATAATAAGAGCAAAATGAACAATGTGTAGGAAAGCAACTTACCAAATGGGTTAACCTATTATCTTTGAGAACATTTATAGGCAACAAAAAAGATGTCCAGTTATTTATTTATTTAATTTTCATTTATTATTGTTTTTTGCAATAACTCTTGAATTTCATTACCATTTATTTAACAGCCGGATAAACTCCTTAATAACAATTCTTTAATAAAAAAAATCATAATAAAATGTTGTAATTTAAAGAAATAAAAGTAGGATGATATAGAATGCAAGTAAAAAGAAAGTATGTTGCTAGTTCTTGCAGTTAAACCAAATATTTATAATCAATCAAACATACAGTTTGTTTAATTAATAATCGTAATCCACCATTGGAAAACCAGAAACTTAATTAAGTAGAATAATTACATACCTAACCATCTGCATTTAGCTCTTGTTTCATGAAAATTGGATCTGTTGGTCTCTTTCTCGTTACAAGCTACAAGAACTCATCCTAATTATGTCCAAACCTACAAGACACAGTACAACTTCATAATTTATATCACTTACATTGGAATCAACATGAACATATAAGTCATTCAATGATAGAAAGTTCCATCCGTTTTCTAAAAGTAAAAAAACGACTTAGTTGTTCGTTTCCATTACAATAATGCTAAAAATTGCATCCTTTACATAAGGAGAAAAGAAGATTAGCAGCTTTATAGAGCCTATACTATAGCTTCTACAACCATACCTAAATCTTATAAAGTGTAAACTAAACATATTTTAGCCAAAGTTTAATCAAAGGGTTTTAGATCTTCCAATATAATTACCATGAAAAAACATATGCTACACCTTGTATTCATTTTCTATAAAAAAAATAACCAATATTAATTTTATATAATATATAAAAGATGTGTTTAACCACAAAAGCAAAATGCATTTGTAACTTCGAAACCAAATTATATTATAGAGTTACAAACCTTTGGACTTTAACTTCACTTATAAGATGCATAGAGTATGCGATTGTCCACAAAGTTAAAGAAATTTGACAATAACATAAATAAAATCCATTGTTGAGTGAAACATAAAACTTTAAGGCACATACATTTAGAGACAACATTATTTGTACAAACATCTTGATTTTCTCGCCAATTACTCTTATACTTGATTAACTAATCTTGATAACAACTAGGACTAGCATGCCAAGTGCAGGGGAATGTGCAAAGACTCCAAAGAAAATTCAGGGAAATGGATTTAGTTATACGTGTTGGAATCCTAAGTCGATGAGGACTTGGAAACCAAACAATCTAATTTATGGAAAGTTTAGTTTATGGCAAGTTGGTCATAAGTTTCCTAGTCTAATACAAGTTGGTTTGTTAGGTTATATATAAATGTTCATAATCGAGTTTATGATTACGAGAACAGATTGTAAAAACATCGGTTTTGAGCTAGTTTCCGATTAATCAAAGAGTTATTTAGGTTATTTTGTTTTGCATTCTTGTTTTCTAAACTTTAATTGGTATCAGAGCGAGGTGAAGACGGTGCCGGTTTGAGAGTCGGTTTCAAGAAAAGTGTAGCCTTTCCTTGCGGGGCAGACGCAACATGAATCGGGTTCCGTTGAAGGGGGTGTGATTTCGTTTTGATCGCAAGCAACCCCGATTTTTCTTGATCGGGCTTGTTCTAAGGTAGAGAGAAACTAACCGGAGAGGCGGAATAAACGGATAGGAAGACGTCAAAGCGGGTGGCTTTGATTCGGTTCGTTTTACTGGTGACGGAAGACGGTAAAGGTGGTCGTGACCTTGTCTTGTTGTTCAATGGAAAAGTGCTCTCGGAACAAGCTTGATTAAAGAGGTCGGGGTGGTGAAAAGAGATATAGGATGTTGATTGGGGTTGAAGAATTCTCTAGAAGGACTTAGAGATTCGGGGGTGATTCTTGGAATCCTAAGTCGATGAGGACTTGGAGACCAAACAATCTAATTTATGGAAAGTTTAGTTTATGGCAAGTTGGTCATAAGTTTCCTAGTCTAATACAAGTTGGTTTGTTAGGTTATATATACATGTTCATAATCGAGTTTATGATTATGAGAACAGATTGTAAAAACATCGGTTTTGAGCTAGTTTCCGATTAATCAAAGAGTTATTTTGGTTATTTTGTTTTGCATTCTTGTTTTGTAAAGTTTAATACGATGGGCGACTCTTAATCTTTGTTAACATGTTCATCTGTTAATATGCATAGTTTAATCATATCACAACATCATATAAAGTATAATATTAACATTATTACATAAAAATTGTCGGATGTTACCTTCCCGACTTTGTTATCCTTGAATCATTGTTGAGGGAGTCCCAAATCTTTGAAACTTTTAAGGTATTTCCAATAGACATATCGGAAATAGTATCAAAATCTTGCATTTCGTTTGCTTCTTCCTCAAAAGTCGACCAAACATATCCCCATAGGACTAGGTTTTTGTTTGTTAGTTCCAAATTTTCCAGATCCGATCCTGGTTCCTCCATTTTCAAGTGAGACGTGTCATCTTTAACGATGAGAGCGAGAGCCAGAGAGATAAATCTGGAGAAAATTATGTGGATTCAACAGATTTATTTGGGGATAAATACGCTTTTTTGTTATGTTTGAATCTATGGTAGACTAATTTTATGGTTAATTTATAGGGATTGCTGAGTCAATTTCAAATTCAAAAATCATGAAGAGAATTATATGGAGAATAAAAGGTATAACATGTCTAAATGAGCGACAAGTGGCAAACATTGAATATGGAGGTGTAATAGAACGACATGTGGACAAGAAAAACTATTATTTTATTAGTTAGAGTAAATTAGACTAGATTAATTACATTGATTGTCGAGATCTATTGTTTCGTCGTAAAAGCGTAAGTTTGCATCATTAAATTCATCATGTTATGGATGTGTGCTAATGGAATAGTTTTGTTTTATTTCGTTGTTAATATTTTTCCAAATTGAAATGCAAAACCTGGGGTATATCTACCATTTTCTTTGAGTTGCAAACTCATGTATATGGTGTGGGCTTTTGTTGATTTATTATCGATGATCAAGAGTTCACTTGTGTCCATGATCGGTTATGAATTATCGTTTATTTGAAATGATGGTTTCTCCGATTATTATAAATGTTGAATCATCGATCAGTGAGAAAAATGTTTGTTTCTGTAGGAGCTTACAAAGATGTCGTTTATCTTGGAGTTTGCAGAGAACTTAATCCTGAGGTCAATGGAGGATCCAGTAGAAAGAGATCGCAAATTCAGAGATCATATCTATGGTATAAAGGAAAGTTGTGATAATACAAAAAAGATGTGGAGCTATCCAATTCGGCCTTATGGATTTTGGACATTTGATCGCCACAATGCTCAGATCTTATGGGATGCTCAGATTAGCCATGTCCGAGGTCGTAGGGACCCCTATGATGACATCCTTCAAGACTACTCCAAATAGATTGTGAGTTCCTATTTACATGTCTACTATTAGGGATTTGTTTATCTGCCTTCATATTAGATTATCTAAACAATATAAGAACATAAAGGTTGTGTTAACGAGGGGCTGTTACTTAATCCTATTACTATCCCATCTTTTTTGGTGCAACAAATCATGCTTCTCAATGAATAGCATTACATAGCGTTTTGCCAATTTCAGGGTTCTGAAACTGTTTGTGATGAAAGATTAATATGAGTCACTCTCGAAGCTGATTCGTTGTTGCTCGTTTTCATTTTACACAGAAAACACACTTATTGTGTATGATACATTGCTGATCTTCACAAATAAAGTCCTTATGAGATCTTCATCTTAGTGTTCAATAGAAGTTTGGTTTTCTAGAATAAAGTTTCTAAATTTGAACGCATGTGATTCCTTTTTTTCCTACTTAGAGTATCACATTTTGTAATAAAATTCAAAGTGATAATTTTGACCACTCTCTTATTGATTTAGATATGTTTTATCCTTCATGTTAACCATATATATATATATATATAGATATATATATATATATATATATATATATATATATATATATATATATATATATATATATATATATACTAGGTAATAACACGTGGAATCCACAATTACAAAATTAAACAAATTTTGATAGTTAAATATTATAACTATTAATCAATTATTTTCAAAATATTATTAAATATGAGAGTTATATGACTTTTATGTATTGATTCAAATAAATATTTGAAATTTCTTTTTAAGATACATGAAGCATTATTTATGTTTGAATTATTAAAAAATGATGAAATTATATAATGAGATAAATTGATTATAAAATAAAACAACACAATCAAATAAATAAAAATTGGTATATGACAAATTAAAAAGTTAAGTTACATAAACCACCATGAAAAATATAACAAATTATAAATAAAAATTAAGAATAAAATTTATTTTACTAAAAATAATAAAATAATAAAAATAAGAACTTTAACTCGCTAATAATCCTTTGACCCGATTATCACTACCCATCCATCCATTGATTAATCATACAAACCATTTTCTTGCCACAACCCTATCGCTGTTCTAATTTTCCAGCACCATCACCGACCTTATTTCGTGTACATTTTTCACAACAACATGCATGTATGCCTCCATCGATCAAATATCAGAAGTAGAGATATGTAGCGATTACATTTCAAATTCATTCAATTAAACCCCTTTTGCATACGATTGTGTCGATTGCACATCCGAAGGACTAACCTTTGAAATTTAATGTAATATCGGTTCACCGAAGTAATGAAAACTGTACGTGTTGAAAGAAGAAAATTCTTGAACCAACCGAAGTACGCCATATGACGACAGTAAGATTCAATCAGGAGCACTTGCTTTTGTTCCTCCTTCTTCAATATTTTAACAAAAGACAACAATTTGGTAGTAGAAACTTACCTATTTAATTTTCAAGAAATTTCAATTTAAAGATGATAGCATGAAAACATCGAAAGCAGATGATTGCAAATCCTGAGAGTGAAAGAAATTTGTCGGGTACTTGTCAAAATTGTCAGCGACTAAAATTGAAATTTCGAAATTCGAAAATGCTAAATATTAGGTGTTTTTTGTTCAAAATATTCATCTTATTAGTATATAGGAAGATAAGATATTGATTTTATCGATTTACCTTCCATATTAGGTGAATAATTGTTTGACAAAAAAAGTAATATTTAATATTTTTGTAGATATATATTCCGAATGATCAGTCTGTTAGTTCAAATAATTATCTTCAATATCATTGTACTTTTCTTATCAGGATCATTTTCTATAACGTTTAAATATCAAAGACCAATCATGTGGTTTATAATTTTCTAATATAGCAATGTATTTAAGTAACTTTGAAAAATATAGCATCTTACTTTCACCTTCATTATTGATATATTTGAATTTACTTAAAACAACGATTGCTTTTAGGATTACGGTTGTATGAAATACCCTAAGTGGACGGTATAAGCTTGATGTTTTTTGTTTGGTTTATTGTATAAATATCTTAAATGACTTAGGCTACAATTTTATATCTCATGATAAATCGATAATGTTGAAATAGTTCAAAAAATGGAGTCTGTTGCTTTCATTTTTATGTCCTTAATAACGTTTTACTCTAAGTTATTTTTCAATTATAGCATTTAACTTTGAAGTTAATGTTCATTTTTATGTCCAGTATAGAGTTCTACTACATGATGGATCTGAATTTACTTTTAGTTTGTACATGTTATGATATTAATACCACTAACTTGTGTATGCTACTGGAAAAGCAATCCCTTTGGCTATTGGAGTTGTGGGCCAAGCAACAATAAGAGAGGTTGGTGGCCTTGTAGTTGATATGATCCAACTAAAAAGGATGGTTGGAAGAACCCTCATGTCCCCTTCCTTATTCATCCAACCTCTGTGAGAACGACCCCTAAGCAAACCCTAAGTGAAAGAGTGCCTTTTTGCAGCCCATTGGAGTGTTTAGAGGAGTTCTTGAAGGTGAAGAGTGAAGTTTGAATAGCATGGAGTTGGGAATTACCTTGGATCTATGATTTCTATCTTGATTGCAACCTCCAGGAGGTATAAAGCTTGTACCTTTATCACTCCGTCTTGTAGATCTAGATTTTTATTATTTTATGACACTTTTTGGTCCTAAAATGGTGATTCTTGAGCATGTCATGTTCTTGAGCCATTAAGTCGTCCTTTCAGACCTTAGGAAGGGTCTTGAGTCCTAAAAATAGGGTATTAATGGTTAGTTTTGCTCCATGCATTCTTTAAAAGGTCTGAATGTATTAACATGTTTAGCTAAGCACTTAATGAAAATGCGAAGTCTTAAAGTTGGAAACTTTATGACTCTTGAGGATGATTTGGCTTTGGATCTTAAAATTAGATGTAGGATCATAAGGCATTAAGCTCTTAATGAAGTTTTGAGAAGTCAGGGCGTACGCCCTACATAACCTGAGTACGCAGCGCGTACGTGGTCAACTCTCCCATATGCGGTGAAGATTTGGATATGCCCTGCATACGCGTTCTGTGTCGACTCGACTGAGTTGGCTTGGTTGGTTTGACTCAGTTGACTTGTTGATTTTGACTAGTTTCGCTTTGACTTTGACCAACTTTGACTAAGGGGTATTGTTGAGTATTTTGAATGGTGTTTGAGAATTAGTCATTTGGATGAATAGGTGACGGTTAGAGCTAAGATTTGGAGTCGTGACCTCATCAGCTATTGTTCAGACTGTGAGGTGAATTTTCCTCACTGTAGTAACGGGTCGAAGGCACCAAGGCCAGCCCATTGGATTGATATCCTGCTATACATTGATATGTTGAGTATGGGATAGATCCGTATGATTATATGCTAGTTGTTGATATGTGTAGACTGGTAGATCTGTAGGACTACCTGTGAATCCTGACTGCATGATTTATGTTTGTTGATTTTGTTTGTTATCTGTTATATGTCGACGTATGGTGTTGGTTTGAGGTTGTATTGCTTTGTGTTGTAACCAATAAATCCAGGAGCATTCTGGATATGAGCTGAAGGTCGATCGGCATTCCATACTCATACTGAGGGCTCGGGAGCATTCCAGATACGAGCTGAGGGCCAGTTGGTATGCCAGACTCGTACTGAGGGCCTGAGGGTATTCCAATCTGATGACTGAGTGGACCCGTTGTATATTAGCATTCTATCCTAGGGTATTCCATCCCGAGGATGACTGGACCCAGAGGTTGACTGGGCATGGGGTATTCCAACTCAATGGTTGATTAGACCCGACATGTTGTTGTATATGTTATATGTGTTGGGTTTTAAGCACTATAACACTCCTATGGTGCACATGCAACCCTAGATGCTTTGTATCTATGTTTTCTCTAATTATACATGCAATTTCAATTTTCCAAAGCATACATCCTAACTAGCATACAATAGAGGATGTACAACATAAAAACCAAGTTAGAAGAATACCTCTTGATGTAGTTTGTAGTTCTTGGCCTTATAAAGCTTTAGCACCTCAAGTGTCATGCCTCTAATGTGTCACAAACACCAAATGCAAGAGGAGGTTTGAGAGAATAGGCTAGTTAGCTCAAAATAGATTATCACTCTCTTAGAATGAATGGGCAACCGATTTTAGCTCTAGGGGTTTGCTTTTATAGTGTTACAAAGGCTAGGGTTTCATCCATGCAAACCCTAATGCACCATGACCCTTCATATTTCTTAGGCTCCATGGGTTAAATCTTTTAGCCCAACCTTATCAACCATGGATCATGTCACACCCCGAAACCGAAGGCGGAAACGTTCCGGGGCGGAGGACGTCATGCGTAGTATCACAACAGTTATATCATAGTAAGCATACTAAACACAACCATTACATTATAATAAGAATATTTACATTGTTCGAAAACATGGTTTATACTTATCAGTATATATAGCAAAAGTAAAAGATATGACTTCAGGATGTTCCATCTTCTCCAAAAGTTGGCAAAAGTACCTGGCTATTGATGCCCTGAGAATACAAGCAGTTTTAAAATATCAGCATAAAGCTGGTGAGTTCATAAGCAGTTAATTCTGGTGAAAGAAAGGTTTCCTTGATTCTTTGAAAAGTTATTTCCCCAAGAAAATCCCATATTTTCTTATAAAAGAGGTTTGATTATCCATTAGTTACACATTAAACAGACTGTTTATGAAAGATTAAGTTATCCCAGAAAATACCATGTTTTCTTAAAGATTGATAGTTGATTATCCATACGCGAGTATCTACCATACTCGGACAGTAGTTTTCTTTTCGAAGCTCTGGTTACACCCAGATGAGTATATTAGCCGTATTTTCGAAGCTCTGGTTACACCCAGAGGAGTACATTAGCCGTATTTTCGAAGCTCTGGTTACACCCAGAGGAGTACATTAGCCGTATTTTCGAAGCTCTGGTTACACCCAGAGGAGTATATTGAAAAAGTAAATTCTCGTTACCTAAGTTGTGAGTGCCATAACCGTACTGAGACTGGATAAGGCGCGTAAATGGGCCAGTATCTTTTATGACTTTGTCACCCCTGAACCAAATGGTTCCGCTGTAGCTAGCAGCGAGGGTGTGGGATAGTCAGTCCCATATAGATCTATACACAATAGTCACGCTCTCCCTCCAAGAGATTCTGGTTATAAGTCGTAGTCCTCCACTCACGAATCCAGGGGAGTGTTACCGAGGACATGTCTCAAACTTAGCCTAACGAACTTACAAATAACAATGTTGAAAATCCTGTTTATAGCTTACGTGAATCCTTTATGAAATAATACATATTATGATAAGGTTCACAAGTTCCTTGCTTTAGATTTGAAAACTGTTTCTACGAGTTGATTTCTAAATCGAGTGGTAAAACGGTTTTCTGTGTTTGAAAGCATACTGAACATGAAATTATTTTAAACAAAATAATATATTTGAGCACAAGTTTCCTTGTACTTTTGCTTGTAT